CCTCTTCCTCTTCCTCGTCCTTGTTCTCTTCCTCCTCCTCTTCCTCTTCCTCATCCCTTGTCCTCTTCCTCCTCCTTGTTCTCTTCCTCCTCCTCTTCCTCTTCCTCGTCCTTTGTTCTTTCCTCCTCCTCTTCCTCCTTCCTCGTCCTTGTTCTCTTCCTCGTCCTTGTCCTCTTCCTCATCCTCCTCCTCTTCCTCCTCCTCTTCCTCCTCCTCGTTCTTGTTCTCTTCCTCCTCCTCTTCCTCCTTCCTCGTCCTTGTTTCTTCCTCCTCCTCTTCCTCCTCCTCGTCCTTGTTCTCTTCCTCCTCCTCTTCCTCCTTCCTCATCCTTGTTCTCTTCTCTCCTCCTCTCTTCCTCGTCCTTGTTTCTCTTTCCTCCTCCTCCTCCTCTTCCTGTTCTTGTTCTCTTCCTCCTCCTCCTCCCTCTTCCTCGTCCTCCTCCTCTTCCCTCTTCTCTTCCTCCTTCCTCGTCCTTGTTCTCTTCCTCCTCTTCCTCCTTCCTCGTCCTTGTTCTCTTCCTCCTCCTCGTCCTTGTTCTCTTCCTCCTCCTCTTCCCCCTACTCGTCCTTGTTCTCTTCCTCCTCCTCTTCCTCCTTCCTCTGTTCTTGTTCTCTTCCTCCTCCTCTTCCTCCTTCTCGTCTTGTTCTCTTCCTCGTCCTTGTCTCTTCCTCCTCCTTGTTCTCTTCCTCCTCCTCTTCCTCTTCCTTGTCCTTGTTCTCTTCTCCTCCTCTTCCTCCTTCCTCGTCCTTGTTCTCTTCCTCGTCCTTGTCCTCTTCCTCGTCCTTGTCCTCTTCCTCGTCCTTGTTCTCTTCCTCCTCCTCCTCCTCCTCCTCTTCTCTCCTTGTTCTCCTTCCTCCTCCTCTTCCTCCTTTCCTCGTCCTTGTTTCTTCCTCCTCCTCTTCCTCCTTCCTCGTCCTTGTTCTCTTCCTCGTCCTTGTCCTCTTCCTCGTCCTTGTTCTTTCCTCCTCCTCTCCTCCTCATCCTTGTTCTCTTCCTCCTCCTCTTCTCCTTCCTCGTCCTTGTTCTCTTCCTCGTCCTTGTCCTCTTCCTCATCCTTGTCCTCTTCCTCCTCCTCTTCCTCCTTCCTCGTCCTTGTTCTCTTCCTCCTCCTCCTCCTCTTCCTCGTCCTTGTTCTCTTCCTCCTCCACCTCCTCTTCCTCGTCCTTGTTCTCTTCCTCCTCCTCCTCCTCTTCCTCATCCTTGTTCTCTTCCTCCTCGTCCTCTTCCTCGTCCTTGTTCTCTTCCTCCTCCTCCCTCCTCTTCCTCGTCCTTGTTCTCTTCCTCCTCCTCTTCCTCCTTTCTCGTCCTCCTCCTCTTCCTCCTCCTCCTCGTCCTTGTTCTCTTCCTCCTCCTCTTCCTCCTTCCTCGTCCTTGCTCCTCTCCTCCTCCTCCTCTCCTCCTCTTCCTCCTTCACGTCCTCCTCCTCTTCCTCCTCCTCCTCCTCTTCCTCGTCCTTGTTCTCTTCCCTACTCCCCTCCTCCTCTTCCTCGTCCTTGTTCTCTTCCCCTCCTCCTCCTCTTCCTCGTCCTTGTTCTCTTCTCCTCCTCCTCCTCTTCCTCGTCCTTGTTCTCTTCCTCCTCCTCCCTCTTCCTCGTCCTTGTTCTCTTCCTCCTCCTCTTCCTCCTTCCTCGTCCTTGTCCTCTTCTCCTCTCTTCCTCCTTCTTTTCGTCCTTGTTCTCTTCCTCCTCCTCTTCCTCCTCCTCTTTCCTCCTTCCTCGTCCTCCTCCTCTTCCTCCTCCTCTTCCCCCTCCTTCCTCGTCCTTGTTCTCTTCCTCCTCCTCTTCCTCCTTCCCTCGTCCTTGTTCTCTTCCTCCTCCTCCTCTTCCTCATCCTTGTTCTCTTCCTCCTCCTCTTCCTCGTCCTTGTTCTCTCTTCCTCCTCCTCCCTCTTCCTCGTCCTTGTTCTCTTCCTCCTCCTCTTCCTCCTTCCTCGTCTTTTTCTCTTCCTCCTCCTCCTCCTCTTCCTCGTCCTTGTTCCCCTCCTCCTCTTCTCCTCCTCTTCCTCCTTCCTCGTCCTCCTCCTCTTCCTCTCCCTCTTCCTCCTTCCTCGTCCTTGTTCTCTTCCTCCTCCTCTTCCTCCTCCTCGTCCTTGTTCTCTTCCTCCTCCTCTTCCTCCTCCTCTTCCTCTTCCTCGTCCTTGTTCTTTCCTCCTCCTCTTCCTCCTTCTCGTCCTTGTTCTCTTCCTCCCTCCTCCTCCTCTTCCTCGTCCTTGTTCTCTTCCTCTTCCTCCTTCCTCGTCCTTGTTCTCTTCCTCCTCCTCCTCCTCTTCCTCGTCCTTGTTCTCTTCCTCCTCCCCTCCTCCTCTCTTCCTCGTCCTTGTTCTCTTCCTCCTCTCCTCCTCTTCCTCGTCCTTGTTCTTCCTCCTCCTCTTCCTCCTTCCTCGTCCTTGTTCTCTTCCTCCTCCTCCTCCTCTTCCTCGTCCTTGTTCTCTTCCTCCTCCTCCTCCTCTTCCTCGTCTTGTTTCTTCCTCCTCCTCTTCCTCCTTCCTCGTCCTTGTTCTCTTCCTCCTCCTCTTCCTCCTTCCTCGTCCTTGTTCTTCCTCCTCCTCCTCCTCTTCCTCGTCCTTGTTCTCTTCCTCCTCCTCGTCCTCCTTCCTCGTCCTGGTGAGAGAGAGAGAGAGAGGTAGAGAGAGAAGGAGGGAGAGAGAGTTTTCTTCAGGTGCGGCTACACTGAATCATCCGCTATATTAACCTAACCTAACCTAACCTAACCTAACCTAACCTAACCTAACCTAACCTAACCTAAGCTAACCTAATAGAGGAAAGAAAGTATAATTTATAGGAAGTATAATTGGGGGAAGGAAGTATAAGGAAGAATATAATAAGAGGGAAGGAAGTATAATAAGAGGGAAGAAAGTATAATTAGAGGGAAGGAAGTATAATAAGAGGGAAGAAAGTATAATTAGAGGGAAGGAAGTATAATAAGAGGGAAGAAAGTATAATTGGGGGAAGGAAGTATAATAGAGGAAGAAAGTATAATTAGAGGGAAGGAAGTATAATAAGAGGGAAGAAGTATAATGGGAGGTATAATAAGAGGGAAGAAAGTATAATTAGAGGGAAGGAAGTATAATAGAGGAAGAAGTATAATTGGGGGAGAATAATAAGAGGAAGAAGGTATAATTAGAGGAAGGAAGTATAATAAGAGGGAAGAAAGTATAATTAGAGGGAAGGAAGTATAATAGGGGAAGGAAGTATAATAGAGGAATAAAGATATAATTAGAGGGAAGGTATAATAAGAGAAGAAAGTATAATTAGAGGGAAGGAAGTATAATAAGAGGAAGAAATATAATTACAGGGAATAAAGTATAATTACAGGGAACAAAGTATAATTAGAGGGAAGAAAATATAATTAGAGGGAGACAAGTATGATTAGTGGAAAGAAAGTATCATTAGAGGGAAGAAAGTATTCGAGGAAGAAAGTATAATTAGAAGGAAGAAAGTATCATTGGGGACTAAAATATAATTAGAGGGAAGAAAGTATCATTCGAGGGAAGAAAGTATAATTAGAGGGACGAAAGTATAATTAGAGGGACTAAAATATAATTAGAGGGAGGAAAGTATAATTAGAGAATAAGCATAATTAGCCTTATACTCCTTGACCTCGTTATACCAGCGTTATCCTCCTAGACCCCGTTATACCAGCCTTATACTCCTTGACCTCGTTATACCAGCGTTATACTCCTAACCCCGTTATACAGCGTTATACTCCTTGACCTTGTAATACCAGCGTTATACTCCTGGACCCCGTACCAGCGTTATACTCCTGAACCGTTATACCAGCGTTACCTCCTGGACCCCGTTATACCAGCCTTATACTCCTTGACCTCGTTATACCAGCGTTATACTCCCTGAACCCGTTATACCAGCCTTATACTCTGAACCCCCGTTATACCAGCGTTATACTCCTAGACCCGGTTATACCAGCGTTATACTCCTTGACCTCGTTATACCAGCGTCATACTCCTTGACCCGTTATACCAGCGTTATACTCCTAGACCTCGTTATACCAGCATTATACTCCTAGACCCCGTTATACCAGTTATACTCCTGAACCGTTATACCACAGCGTTATACTCCTAGACCCGTTATACCAGCGTTATACTTGGGTGACATACTAGTGTGACAAGGGAGCGGTGGAGAGAAGCAACGGTAGGGAGAGCTTAACGGTGAGGAAACAACAGTGAGGAGAGATAACGGTAGGGAAGCTTAACAGTGAGGAGAGCTTAACGTGAGGAGCTGAACGGTAGGGAAGCTTAACGGTAGGAGGAAGCAACGGTAGGGAGAAGCAACGGTAGGGAAGCAACAGTAGGCAGATCTTAACGGTAAGGAGGAAAGCAACAGTGAGGAGAGCTTAACGGTAGGAGAGCAACGTGAGGAGAGCTGAACGATAGGCAGAGCTTAACAGTGAGGGAGGAGCGGAATAGTAGAGAGGAAGCAACAGTAGGGAGGAAGCAGCGGTGGGGAGAAGCAACAGTGGGAGAGCTGAACGATGGGCAGGAGCTAACAGTAGGCAGAGCTTACGAGTAGGGAGAGCTTAACTGAAAGGGAGAGCTGAACGATAGGCAGAGCTTAACAGTGAAGCAGAGCTTAACGGTAGGGAAAGCAACGGTAGGCAGAGCTTAACACTGTCTTTCTTGGTTAAGGAGAAAACCCAGGAGTGGCGACCTCCTTCCTTCCTTAGCATTTCCTCCCTCCATCTTCTACCAGGTTATGTTTCCCTCCTCTCCTCACCCTTCCCTCCTTTCCTCCCTCTTCCTCCCCTTCCCTCCCTCTTCCTCCCTCTTCCTCCCTCTTCCTCCCTCTTCCCCCTCTTCCTCCCTCCTCCTCCCCTCCTCCACCTCTCACCTGTTCATTCGTAATAATACCAGAGACTCATTGGGAATCCCCCTCCCTCCCTCCCTCCCCTCCCTCCCCTCCCCTCCCTCCTCAGAGTACAACGGGGAGGGGAAAGGGAAGGGAGAGGTCTATGTTCCTCTATCGACACAATGTGCAGGTCGACTCCTCACTCCTTGTTGTTCACGGGCCATAGTGTAGGGCCATAGTGTGAGGCCATAGAGTGGGGCCATAGTGTGGGGCCATAGTGTGGGGCCATAGTGTGGGGCCATGGTGTGGGGACCATAGAGTGAGACCTGGTGTGGGACCATAGTGTGGGGCCATAGTGTGAGGCCATGGAGTGGGGCCATAGTGTGGGGACCATAGTGTGGGGCCATAAGTAGAGACCATAGTTTGAGGAGCCATGGTGTGGGGCCATAGTGTGGGGCCTGGTGTGGCCATGAGTAAGGCAATGAGTAGATGTGGGGCCATAGGTAGAGACACAGTGTGGGGAGCCATAGTGTGAGCATGGTGTGGGCAGTGGGGCCATAGTGTGAGACCATGGTGTGGGGCCATAGTGTGAGGGCCATAGTGGGGCCATGGACTGGGGCCATGGTGTGAGACCATGGTGTGGGGACCATGGTGTGGGGCCATAGTGTGGGGCCATAGTGTGGGAGACCATAGTGTGGGGCCATGGTGTGGGGCCATAGAGTGGGAGACCTGGTGTGGGGCATAGTGTGGGGCCATGGTGTGGAGGCATGGTGTGGGGCCATGGTGTGGGGCCATGGTGTGGGGCCATAGTGTGGGCCATGGAGTGAGCAATAGAGTGAAGACCATAGTGTGGGACCATAGTGGGGAGCCATAGTGTGGGGCCATAGTGTGAACCATGGTGTGGGGCCATAGGTAGAGACCCATAGTGTGGGGCCATAGTGTGGGGCCATAGTGTAGGATATAGTGTGGGGCCATAAGTGGGGCCATGGTGTGGGGTCATAGTGTGACAGGTGTAGGGTAATAGTGTGGGGCCATAGTGTGGGGCCATAGAGTGGGGCCATAGTGTGGGGCCATGGTGTGGGGCCATGGTGTTGGGCCATGGTAGAGGAGCCATAGAGTAGGGCCATAGTGTGGGGCCATAGTGTGGGGCCATAGTGTGGGAGCCAATAGTGGGCATAAGTGGGGCCATAGTGGGGCCATAGTGTGAGGGCATAAGTGTGGGGCCATGGTGTAGGAGCCATAGTAGAGACCATGGTGTGGGGCCATAGTGTAGGCCATGGTGTGGGAGCCATGGGTGGGCCATAGTGTAGGAGGCCATGGTGTGGGGCCATGAGTGGGGCCATGGTGCAGGGGCCATAGTGTGAGACCAAAGTGTGGGGCCATAGTGTGAGGCCATAGTGCAGGGCATGGTGAGGGGCCATAGTGTGGGGCATAGAGTAGGGCCATAGTGTGGGGCCATAGAGTAGGGCCATGGTGTGGGGCCATGGTGTGAGACCATAGTGTGGGGCCATAGAGTGGGCCATAGTGCAGGGCCATAGTGTGGGGCCATGGTGTGGGACCATAGTGTGGGGTCATAGTGCAGGGCCATAGGTATGGCAGGAGGCCATAGTGTGGGGCCATGGTGTGGGGCCATGGTATGGGGCCATATTGTGGGAGGCCCATAGTGTGAGGGCCATAGTGTGGGGCCATAGTGTGGGACCATGGTGGGCCATAGTGTGGGGCCATAGTGTGGGAGCCATAGAGTGGGCCATAGTGTGAAACCATAGAGTGGGGCCACAGTGTGGGGCCATAGTGTGGGGCCATAGTGTGAAACCATAGAGTGGGACCATAGAGTGGGGCCATAGGTAGGACCATAGAGTGAGACCATAGTGTGGGGCCATAGTGTGGGACCATAGTGTGAGAGCCATAGTGTGGGAGCCATAGTGTGGGGCCATAGTGTGAAACCATAGAGTAGGACCTGAAGTAGGGCCAGTGCAGAGACCATGGTGTGGGGCCATAGTGCAGGGACCATAGTGTGGGGCCATAGTGCAGGGCCATGGTGTGGGACCATAGTGCAGGGCCATAGTGTGGGGCCATAGTGTGGGAGCCATAAGTGGGACCATAGAGTGGGGCCATAGAGTGGGGCCATAGTGTGGGAGCCATAGAGTGGGACCATAGGTAGGGCCATGAAGTAGGACCATAAGGTAGGTCCATGTGTGGGACAGTGTGGGACCATAGTGTGGGGCCATAGTTAGGAGCCATAGTGCAGGGCCATAGTGTGGGGCCATAGTGTAGAGGCCATAGTGTGGGGCCATAGTGTGAGGACCATAGTGGCAGGGCCATAGTGTGGGAGCCATAGTGTGTGGGGCCATAGTGTGGGGCCATAGTGTGGGACCATAGTATGGAAACATAAGTGGGACCATGAGGGCCATAGTGCAGGGCCATAGTGTGGGGCCATAGTGCAGGGCCATAGTGTGGGAGCCATAGTGCAGGGAGCCATAAGTGAGGGCCCATAGTGCAGGGACCATAGTGTGGGGCCATGGTGTGAAACCATAGTGGGACCAAGTGAGGGCCATAGAGTAGAACATAGTGTAAGCCATAGAGTGGGACAGAGTAGGAGCCATGGTGTGGGGCATAGTGTGGGACCATGGTGTGGGGAGCCATGGTGTGGGGCCATAGTGCAGGGCCATAGTGTGGAGACCATAGTGTGGGACCATGGTGTGAGACCATAGTGTGAGCCATAGTGTGGGGACATAGTGTAGGGCCATGGTGTGAGACCATAGTGTGGGGCCTGGTGTGGGGCCATAGAGTGGGCATGTGTAGAGACCATAGAGTGGGGCCATGAGTGTGGGGCCATGGTGTGGGCCATGGTGTGAGGCCATGGTGTGGGAGCCATGGTGTGGGGCCATGGTGGCAGGAGCATGGTGTGGGGGCCATAGTGTGGGGATGTAGTGTGGGTGGTGAACAGCAAGTGGCGTCCCTGTAGTGAAGATGTCTTACTGGTGAGAGACAGCCTGTGGCGCCCTATGCCAGGTATAGCTAACAGGAGGTCTTACTGGTGAGAGAGACCGCCTGTGGCGCCCTATGCCAGGTATAGCTAACAGGGAGTCTTACTGGTGAGAGAGACAGCCTGTGGCGCCCTATGCCAGGTATAGCTAACAGGGAGTCTTACTGGTGAGAGAGACAGCCTGTGGTGCCCTATGCCAGGTATAGCTAACAGAGTCTTACTGGTGAGAGAGACCTGTGGCGCCCTATGCCAGGTATAGCTAACAGGGAGTCTTACTGGTGAGAGAGAGAGCCTGTGGCGCCTATGCCAGGTATAGCTAACAGAGTCTTACTGGTGAAGAGACAGCCTGTGGCGCCTATCCAGTATAGCTAACAGAGTCTTCTGGTGAGGCAGCCTGTGGCGCCTATGCCAGGTATAGCTAACAGGAGTCTTCTGGTGAGAGAGACAGCCTGTGGCGCTATGCAGGTATAGCTAACAGGAGTCTTCTGGTGAGAGGAGCAGCCTGTGGCGCCCTATGCCAGTATAGCTAACAGGGAGTCTTACTGGTGAAGAGACAGCCTGTGGCGCCTATGCCAGGTTAGCTAACAGGGGGTCTTACGGTGAGAGAGACAGCCTGTGGCGCCCTATGCCAGGTATAGCTAACAGGAGTCTTCTGGTGGAGACAGCCTGTGGCCTATGCCAGGTATAGCCCTAACAGGGAGTCTTACTGGTGAGGGCAGCCTGTGGCGCCCTATGCCAGGTATAGCTAAGGGAGTCTTACTGGTGAGAAGACAGCCTGTGGCGCCTATGCCAGGTATAGCTAACAGGGGTCTTCTGGTGAAGAGACAGCCTGTGGCGCCCTATGCCGGTATAGCTAACAGGGGTCTTCCTGGTGAGGAGAGACAGCCTGTGGCGCCCTATGCCAGGTATAGCTAACAGGAGTCTTACTGGTGAGAGAGACAGCCTGTGGCGCCTATGCAGTATAGCTAACAGGAGTCTTCTGGTGAACAGCCTGTGGCGCCTATGCCAGGTATAGCTAACAGAGTCTTGGTGAGAGAGACAGCCTGTGGCGCCTATGCGAATAGTAACAGGGGTCTTCTGGTGAGAGACAGCTGGCGCCCACAGGTATAGCTGGTCTTACTGGTGAGAGACAGCCTGTGGCGCCTATGCCAGGTATAGCTAACAGGGAGTCTTACTGTGAGAGAGACAGCCTGTGGCGCCTATGCCGGATAGTAACAGAGTCCTGGTGAGAGACAGCCTGTGGCGCTATGCCAGTATAGCTAACAGGAGTCTTCTGGTGAGAGAGACAGCCTGTGGCGCCCTATGCCGGAGTATAGCTAACAGGGAGTCTTACTGGTGAAGACAGCCTGTGGCGCCCTATGCCAGGTATAGCTAACAGAGTCTTCTGGTGAGAGAGCCTGTGGCGCCTATGCGGTATATAACAGGGGTCTTCTGGTGAAGACAGCCTGTGGCGCCTATGCCAGGTATAGCTAACAGGGGGTCTTACTGGTGAGAGGGCCTGGCGCCCTATGCCAGGTATAGCTAACAGGGAATCTACTGGTGAGAGAGACAGCCTGTGGCGCCCTATGCCAGGTATAGCTAACAGAGTCTTACTGTGAGAGAGACAGCCTGTGGCGCCCTATGCCAGGTATAGCTAACAAGTCTTCTGGTGAGAGAGACAGCCTGTGGCGCCTATGCCAGGTATAGCTAACAGGGAGTCTTACTGGTGAGAGACAGCCTGTGGCGCCCTATGCCAGGTATAGCTAACAGGGTCTTACTGGTGAGAGAGACAGCCTGTGGCGCCTATGCCAGGTATAGCTATGCTGAACAGGGGTCTTCTGGTGAGAGAGCAGCCTTGGCGCCCTATGCCAGGTATAGCTAACAGGGGAGTCTACTGGTGAAGAGACAGCCTGTGGCGCCTGCCAGGTATAGCTAACAGGGAGTCTTACTGGTGAGAGAGACAGCCTGTGGCGCCTATGCCAGGTATAACCAGGGTCTTACTGTGAGAGAGACAGCCTGTGGCGCCCTATGCCGGAGTATAGCTAACAGGAGTCTTACTGGTGAGAGAGACAGCCTGTGGCGCCCTATGCCAGGTATAGCTAACAGGGGTCTTCTGGTGAGAGAGCAGCCTGTGGCGCCCTATGCCAGGTATAGCTAACAGAGTCTTACTGGTGAGAGAGACAGCCTGTGGCCCTATGCCAGGTATAGCTCAGGGAGTCTTCTGGTGAGAGGACAGCCTGTGGCGCCTATGCCAGGTATAGCTAACAGGGAGTCTTACTGGTGAGAGAGACAGCCTGTGGCGCCCTATGCCAGGTATAGCTAACAGGGAGTCTTACTGGTGAGAGAGACAGCCTGTGGCGCCCTATGCCAGGTATAGCTAACAGGGGTCTTACTGGTGAGAGAGACAGCCTGTGGCCTATGCCAGGTATAGCTAACAGAGTCTTACTGGTGAGAGAGACAGCCTGTGGCGCCCTATGCCAGGTATAGCTAACAGGAGTCTTCTGGTGAAAGACAGCCTGTGGCGCCTATCCAGGTATAGTAACAGGAGTCTTCTGGAGAGACAGCCTGTGGCGCCCTATGCCAGGTATAGCTAACAGGGAGTCTTCTGGTGAGAGAGACAGCCTGTGGCGCCCTATGCCAGGTATAGCTAAGAGTCTTCTGGTGAGAGGAGACAGCCTGTGGCGCCCTATGCCAGGTATAGCTAACAGGTCTTCTGGTGGGTGGGTGCAGCTGAGGTCTTCTGGTGAGAGAGACAGCCTGTGGCGCCCTATGCCAGCTAACAGGGAGTCTTCTGGTGAAGACAGCCTGTGGCGCCCTATGCCAGGTATAGCTAACAGGGAGTCTTACTGGTGAGAGAGACAGCCTGTGGCGCCCTATGCCAGGTATAGCTAACAGGGGTCTTACTGGTGAGAGAGAGAGACTGTGGCGCCCTATGCCAGGTATAGCTAACGAGAGTCTTATGGTGAGAGAGACAGCCTGTGGCGCCTATGCCAGGTATAGCTAACAGGAGTCTTACTGGTGAGAGACAGCCTGTGGCGCCCTATGCCAGGTATAGCTAACAGGAGTCTTCTGGTGAAGAGACAGCCTGTGGCGCCCTATGCCAGGTAGCTAACGGTTGTGAGGCTGGCGCTATGCCAGGTATAGCTAACAGGGAGTCTTACTGGTAGAGGAGACAGCCTGTGGCGCCTTATGCCAGTATATAGCTAACAGGGAGTCTTACTGGTGAAGAGACAGCCTGTGGCGCCCTATGCCAGGTATAGCTAACAGAGTCTTACTGGTGAGAGAGACAGCCTGTGGCGCCTGCCAGGTATAGCTAACAGGGAGTCTTCTGGTGAGAGAGACAGCCTGTGGCCCTATGCCAGGTATAACAGGGTCTTACTGGTGAGAGAGACAGCCTGTGGCGCCTATGCCAGGTATAGCTAACAGTCTTC